TTGTTCATAGGTTCCCTGGCCAGTAGTTGCCTGGCAGACCGCTGCCTCTGGGATCAGCTCCATGCTCAGCCTCTGGGCAATGGCCCTACCTTTGACTGGTTCTTTGGATACGAGGAAGTTCAGGAACTCCTGCTATCACTACTGCAAAAGGCACCAGCTGCCTCTCCACCGCGGGTGCTGGATGTGGGCTGTGGGACCTCAAGCCTATGCACAGGCCTCTACACCCAGTCCCCGTACCCTGTCAGTATTCTAGGGGTGGACTTCTCCCCTGTGGCTGTGGCCCATATGAACAACCTTCTGCAGGGTGGCCAAGGTCAAACACCCCTATGCCCTGGGCACCCTGATTCCCGCCTCCATTTTATGCAGGCTGATGCTCAGAATCTGGGGCCTGTGGCTGCCTCAGGCTCCTTCCAGCTATTGCTGGACAAGGGCACCTGGGATGCTGTTGCACGTGGTGGTCTGCCTGGAGCTCACCAGCTGCTTTCAGAATGTTTGAGGGTCCTAAGCCCCAAAGGGACCCTAATTCAATTCTCAGATGAGGACCCTGATGTGCGACTGCCCTGCCTAGAGCAAAGGTCTCCTGGTAGGACTGTGACTGTGCAGGAGTTAGGCCCTTTCAGGGGCATTACCTACTTTGCTTATTTTGTTAAAGGCTCTCATTAAAGATTGTCTTAACCATTGTGTTTTCTGTTGGAAAGAGCTTCATCTTGGGAATATGCATGGCTGAGCTGGGCATGATGGCACATGCCTGTAATCCCAAGAGGATCTTGACTTCAGAGGCTGAAGCAAGAGGATCTTGACTTCAAAGCCAGACTCTGCAAAGGCAAGGCACTAAGCAATTCAATAGGACCCTTCCTCTAAATACAAACTAGGGCTGGGGATGTGGTGCCCATGAATTCAATCCCCAGTACTGCCCCCTCCCCCCCCACAAAAAAAGAAACTAGGTGAAAAGTTGAAGAGAAAGACAATCAATGCTTACCCACAAAGCAGTTTCTAGAGACAGGAGACTTATTGGGTACCAAAAACAGGGAGTGGGGGCTTCCTGATATAACCTGTCCTCAGGAATACAAAGGGCATCTTGCTCTTCATGTTTCCAGCTGAGTCTAGGGATGTTTAGGGGATATCTGAAGTCCTCTGGGTTCCAAACCCAATCTGAGGGAAGAGGGGAGTAAAGAGCCTAATAACAGTAAAAAACATTCCTGATATTTAAAAATCATAAAGCTGGGCATGGTGGCTCATCCCAGTCAGGAGCTGAAGCAGGAGGGTTTTCAATTCAGAGCATCAGCAAAAAGCAAGGCACCAAGCAACTTCAGAGAGACCCTGTCTCTAAATAAAAGGCAAAATAGGCTTGGGGGTGTGGCTCAGTGATCAAGTGCCCTTGAATTCAATCCTCAGTAGTGGGGTGGGGGGAGCCTAACTTCATAATCTTAATTATAAAGAGAAAGTGTCTCATTGGATTGTTCTGAAAATCATGAGGTAAAAGTGTATAGCACAGGCAGCCACGACTTGTGCCTGTAGGATCACGAGTTCAAGGCCAACTTCCCGCAATGAGACCTGTCTAAAAAAATAAAAGGACTTGGGGATGTAGCTCAGTGGTAAAATGCCTCAGTTCAGTGTATCCAATACCCAGTAGCTCCTCTTCCCCAAAATTAAAATACAGATTAAAAAGTATCACCCATTCTGACATGAAACTACCCTCTTATTGTTCATCAGTCTTGTCAACTGCCTAGACTTTGCTCCCATATTTTTCTCTACCACATTCATTTAATACCTTGTGAAGAAGGGGATGCTGAGGATCAAACATGCTAAGTAAGCATGCACTTTACCGCTGGCTACACCTGAAACCCCTTTCTATGTTTATTGAGTACCAATATGTGCTTGGCCCTGCTATCTGCAGGAGACAGTGAATCCATTTTGGTCCACTCTAGAACATCCAGATCACAGTATCCCAATCGAAACAGCCACCTCCCTTACCTGGTTCTACACTTTGGTAATGGAAGAAGGCCTAAGATTCTTCCTTGCCATCAGTGAGCAGCTAAAGTTCCTTTGACCATTGGAGACCCCCACCATCTTCATTTGCCTCCATGGCTTCCACCACAATACAGAACAGGTGGAACTTTCAAGAGACAATCTAAATAAAGACAATGGGAATGTTGTGCACAAGTTGATTATGAGCCAGCAGCAGGACACAAGTTGAGGACATGCTAACCTGATGATCCTGGTTTCCTTCAACCCTGTTGAGCTCTTCTCTGTCCTTCCAGGAGGGAGTATTGATTTCTGGACACCAGGAGGATCCTGGACTACCTCTAGACCAAGGCCCATCTTCCTTGTTGCTCCTTGACACAAGGGCCATGGGGGTGATTCTAAGGGTGCAAAATTGTTGAATGCCGAGGCTGGGGATGTGGCTCAAGCGGTAGCACGCTCGCCTGGCATGTGTGCAGCCCCAGTTAATAACAAGGACACCTGACTTAAAGCCTTGTGAGTAAGAGCTAATAATCTTGGAATTTCCTGGCTTACTGATTTTCCCAGGCTGACTTGTTTATTGCTGAGAGCCATTGCCAAGTAGGAATGACGCATGGCAATTTCTTTGTCAGCCTACCCCATGTTGCTTGGAGGAAGGACTCTCCATTGTGGAAATGGGCTTGTCTTAGACTCAGGTCATTTGCAGTGACATTGTATTGAAAGGTGACCTTGCTCAAGGACCAGGGATCCCGGTTTAGGGCGGATCAGGGTTTAGCTCCTTGGGTTTAGGGCGGTTCCAGGTTTAAGGTGTATCCTGCTGGGAATAGGGCATATCCTGCTGCCTCCAGGCACCAGCTCCTTGAGTTCCCGTTGAGTTCTCGCAGGATTGAGAGAGTATTTTGGGATACAGAGCCAAGTGGAAGCGAGGATTTTCCCCAGAATGTGTATAGAGGGCCGGTGACAGTTCGAGAATAAAGAGTTGCTGTTTGAATCTACAAGGTGTATAGTGGCTTGTGATTTTGTGCCCAGCCAGACTGCGGCAGTTTATATGGATTGGAGCTAATGAATTTTTTTTTTTTTTTTAAAGAGAGTGAGAGAGGAGAGAGAGAGAGAGAGAGAGAGAGAGAGAGAGAGAGAGAGAGAGAGGAGAGAGAGAGAGAATTTTTAATATTTATTTTTTAATTCTCGGCAGACACAACATCTTTGTTGGTATGTGGTGCTGAGGATCGAACCCGGGCCGCACGCATGCCAGGTGAGCGTGCTACCGCTTGAGCCACATCCCCAGCCCGCTAATGAATATTTATATGATGTTTATTATTTGACAGAAACTCTTTTTTTGGAGGGGCGGGTACTAGAGACTGAACTTTTGGGCACTCAAACACTAAACCACATCCCCAGCCTTATTTTGTATTTTATTTTGAGACAGGGTCTCACTGACTTGCATAGTGCCTCACAGTTGCTGAGGCTGGCTTTGATTTTGTGATCCTCCTGCCTCAGTCTCCTGACTGGCTGGGATTACAGGCATGTGCCACCATACCCGCTCTCTCTCTCCTTTTTGTACTGGGGATTGAACCCAGGTTACTATGCCACTGAGCTACATCAGTAGCCCCTAGATTATTATTTTTTATTTTAAGACACAGTCCCACTAAGTTGCTTAGAGCCTTGCTAAATTGCTGAGGCTGTCCTTGAACTTGTGATGGTCCTGCCTCAGCCTCTCCAGTTGCTGGGAAAACAGATGTGTGTGACCACCCCACTCTTTAACCTGCCTTACATATAAACTCGGTTATCTTAAAACTGAGATTGTTACTATTAGGAGTCACATTTTCCAATGCAGAAACCTGGGGCAAGGAACTTAAATGATTTTCTTAGTAGATACCCAGTTCTGGTTTTTCATCTCCGAACTAGAATTTGGTATATTACACAAGTTCCACAGGCTTCCTGGTTTAAAAGTAAAAAAACGTCAACACCAAGTGTATGTATACCTTGAGGAAAAGTATTAACAACCTATTTGTAAGATAAACAAGAAATAGAAAATTATACCCATTCCCCACCTAGTACTGAGTTGTCTCAGAGTTGAAAGGATTGGGAGGGGCCAATTGATTGATGGGTGTAAATATCCGGAGGAATGCTTTATGCGGTTTTGAAAACCGCACAATACTACAGGAAATGAAAGCAGTTCTATTTCTGATTGGAAAACTTCAGAGGGCAGAAAATGGGAAACTGTAAAATGCACAATAACCATAAAGACATGCATTCTCCTCCTAGCTCCTAGGCATCCTACTCTGGACAATGGGCCGCGTGCTTAGTCCTTGGTGCCAACAATTATTATTTTTATTTATTTGATACTGGGGATTGAACTCAGGAGCACTCGACCACTGAGCCACATCTCCAGTCCCATTTTGTATTTTATTTAGAGACAGGGTCTCACTGAGTTGCTTAGCACTCGCTTTTGCTGAAGCTGGCTTCGAACTCACGATCTTCCTGTCTCAGCCTCCGGAGCCTCTGGGATTACAGGCGTGTGCCACCGCACCCGGCTTGTGCCAACAATTTTTATATTATTATCGAACCTAGATGCGCTTTGCCACCAAGCCATATACCCAGGGTCTTTAAATTGCTAAGGCTGGTTTCAAACTTGTGATCCTCCTGCTTCAGGCTCAACGTCCCCAGGTATTTAGACCCAAGCGCTCAGGATTCTAAACGTTTCTAAGGCCAGGCTCTCTATACTCCGGCTGCTTCTCTATGGTTTCTACGGGTCGCTCTAGCCCGCAGGGGCCGGTGAGACGTCGTAGCCACCCTCTAGGCTGCTGTAGACTGCGGAGGTTGTCTCGTTGGTTGCACTCAGCCATGCAGAGTGTGCAGAAAGTGCTCATGGTAGTAGCGGTGCTGGGCGCTGGGGCTGGCGTGGGGTCCGCGCTCTTTGCTCTGGTAACCCCAGGAGAGCTGCAGAAGCAGGAGATGCTGAAGGTAGGTACAACTGAGAATTCTGAGGAGGAGCGGGCGTACGGAGAACCCTGGACTGGTGTCCTGGTTTGTGAACTCCCTTCTTATTCCCAGGAGATGCCGGAGCAGGACCCTCGACGCAGGGATGAAGGGAAGAGGAATCAGCAGCTAGTGATGGCCACGCTGCAGGAGGCCGCGGCCACGCAGGAGAACGTAGCGTGGAGGAAGAACTGGTTGGTTGGCGGCGGCGGGAGATCAGCATGATGCCAGACCTGTCCGAGTGGGCGCTACGACCTTGGTTTGAGCGCAGATCACAGGCAGCCTTTCAACTCCGTGAAACCTGCGGGGAATCCGGACCTCAGATGCCTCACTCCAGGTCCCGGAGAGCGGCCGCCGGGTGAGCATCGTTCCCCCTCCAACTCTGCGCTGATTGCTTTAACGTCCACATCATCCGCCAAAGTCGTGTCTGGGGTCGGTTGTGGTGAACAGAAAGAACCAATAAATTCTGTGCCTCCCAAATGAGCCGGGCAGTCGCACGCCTACTGGTGCTGAGAGATGTGCGGGTCATCGCTCAAGCCGGCTTGGGGAGCTCTGCTGAGCAGGGCTTAGGCCTGCCCTGCCCCATAGTCTGAAGTTCTATGGGCTTAGTAACCACATTTTCAAAACAGGTCTTCTTATGTAAGTGTTACTTCTGGGGAAAACCAAGCGACATTCCCGAAATCGAAACTATTCTGGAAAAGCTTGTTAGCAATGGATGACATCTGTTCTTTGAGGGAGGTTG